CTTTAATCTTTAAACCAAGTATATCTCCTACGTCTTCTTTAAAACCAAGCAATAATGTAGCTTAACTAGTAAAGAATGTGTGCCTTGAGCACTGTGCTCTTTTAAGAACTATCTATTATGGGATCAAACAGACAACACCAACTCAAAAGATTACACAAGGAACTCAGGGAGCAGTGAGTTTGTTTAATGGGAGAAGAACAATTCAGAAAAGGAGGGTGAAAATGGGTGCAAAACTTGAAGAATGTAATCAACATCACTGAATTGCACATGTTGAATTGGTGTGCTGTTCTGCTGTGCATATTCTCAACAAGAATAAAAAATAAAATAAAAAGGCAAGCTAGACTTGGGGGCTGATGAATACTAAAATGGCAAAGGTAAAGGTGCTTTAGAAAGTCCAGAGTAGATGCTAAATTATGGAACTCCATTTCCTATAGTTCAGCACCAAATAAGTGAGATGTTTTTTTAATGTAAAACTAATTCATTTCTGACAATCCATAGAAGCTGATCAATACTATAGAATTTTTCTCTTAAATAAACCCAGGTTGGGGGAGGAGAGGGAATAGCATGTACAATTTGACCGCATTTATTTATTTTCACCTGCTATGATTTCTAGAACACAAAACCTTAAAGAAGTTCTCTGCTTGGATTTTAAGAACCTAGCTTTCTTATCCTCCCGCATTTCAGCAAAAGCAAAAGAAAATAAATCAAAAAGCTCATTTAGCATGAAATGATATTTCATCAGATGACAACTGTTAAAGCTATTCACTATTTGTTATATGGAGCTTTACAAACTGAGTCATTTTGAAAATGAATCTTCAGGTCTCAACAAGCAAAACAGGACTAAAGAGAACGAAATAGATTTGTCCTCAATGGAAATGAAGTCAGTGATTAGCTGCTTTGAAGTAGCAAATTCTGCAGATATTAAAGTACTCTCAGGCAGGGAGGGTCAGCATTTAGAAACCTTAAAGATTTTCAGAAGTTCTTATTTACAGAAAGTTTGGTTTATAGGAACAATAAAAAGAAAGAAAAAAAAATCTGGACGTGTAACTTTTCAGTATCCCACATTAATTATTAAACTTCCACCACTACCCCAAAATAAAGCTGTATCTTAGTTAAATACACTAAACCTAAAGCCCTCCATTCTACAAATTCTTGCAACTTACTATTGTCAAGAGAAAAAACTTGCAACTAACCACCTACACCCTCCCCTTTGCCATGTCATAGCTCTCCTATCCTTAAATTCTGCAAAATGCCCACTCCCAAGTACTCCTTGAGAACGATTTTTTTTCACTTAAACCAGCACACTTCAAACAACTAACACCATCTCTTAGCTATCTCTTTACTACTACAGCACTTTGTCAACTACTGAATTTAAATGCAAAACTGTGCAAACTCTTCTTGATCCTATTACGTGTATTATTTTAAAGGCTTTTTGTAATATAAGGGGCAGATTTAATAAACAAATCCACATTATAGATATATAAATGCTCATTCAGAAAGCAGTCAGTCAGTCCTCAGAAAGAAATTTCAATGCATCCCTGCCTCCTGTGCCATATAGTATATGAGCAGCCCAAGAATGAGGGAATGATACAGACCATTAATAGATGAACAAGAGTACAGAGATAAAAGTATCAGCCATCAGTCTTTCAATAACAGAACAGGACAAAAAGAAGTGCACAGATGGCCACCAGAGACTATATACTAAAGAAAATAACCCTACTGGTCTTTGGACACAGGGACTCACAATTAAAATATGAGGAAACTGGGCAATTTAACTAAACCAAACTAAACTTCCTATCAAGGAACAACAACAACAAAATTCACAAACATGCTCCTTGTGCTAGAAGCCTCTTTACATACCTCTTCTCATTTTCCTTGACCTCAATGAAACACAATTAATGTTAACTAACCCTATTCACTGCACCTAACAACAGCCCTATTCTTGCTAAGCCCTAAACCTTCCTGCTAGAAGAATACTATCCTTCCCTAATCTTCTATACCCACGAATGCTTCATTTCCTCCTCCTTTGTTGTTATGTGCCGGCGAGTCAGACCCAAGTCATAGCGACCCCTCCTTGGGTTTCCGAAGCAATATCACTACGGAAGTAGATTGCCCCATCTTCCTTCCGAGGAGTGGCTGGTGGGTTTGAACCGCCAGCCTTCTGGTTAGCAGTCAAGTGCCTTAGCCACTACGCTACCAGAGCTCCCTATCATCCCTTAAATGCAGTCAGTCAGTCAAGTCCCTGGCATGTTTCTCCTTTTCTATCTGCTAACAACTTCTTCCTACCACTTCCAAATTATTGTAATCTAAGTTCCAATTCAATTGCTTTGATTAGAAAGGAAAGTCTTACAAAGGCTTCTTAACAATAAAATTAAGATTCTCAGTCTGCTCAAACTGTCAGATGGACCATAATAATCTCCCTCCTGAAATCCTTGACTTTTGTGTTACTTCTCATCAGGATTCTCTAGCTTTCTCTCTGACCTCTCCACTTCACTGTCTTTCACAGGCCTGCCCTTTTTCTGTCTTTTCCCTTAAAGCCAGCCAGTGCTGCCCAGGGGAGTGTTCAGCTTTTTGTCTTTTAACCATCTCTGAAGTCATCCAGTCCACTTCTCTTCCACCTACATGCAAATGACTTCAGAACATGCGCTTAATCTTAGTATTGATATCTCATTTGCAAACTACTGAGGGGAATTTTCCCATTAATGTTTCCTCTGAAAACCTTTCCTTTCATACAAACCATCAATTCACATTATGCTAACCTTTCAGGAAAGCTCAAAGTTAAAACTGATTTCTCCCATCCTCCCTCCAGGAGCTCTGGTGGCGTAGTGCCTAAGGCATGTGACTGCTAACCAGAAGGCTAGTAGTTCAAACTCACCAGCCACTCCACGGAAGGAAAGTTGGGCAAACTAGTTCCATAGTGATACCACCTCAGAAACCCAAGGAGGGGTTGCTATGAGTCAGATCCGACTCCACCGCAGTGGGTTTGGTTTTCTTGGTTTCCTCCCTCCCTCCCTTCTTATTTCTATAAGGAACCCCTTGCATATTTTGCATTCATCTGTTACTTTTTATCACTACTTCCATAACTCAGATTTATTAATTCCTACTATCACTTAGTCTACTCATTCTAGTCTCTCCTCTGTACATTCTATACAGAACATCACATTAGTATAAGACTTCATAAATAACTCCCTACAACACTTATGTTTTCTTCTCTCCTGCTAGTGAAAAATGCTCTCACCAGTCTATGTTTGACCCACATAAAGTAAGAAAGAAGAGATTTACTCCCTTCTCATCAAAAAAATCAAGAACTGAAGGTAACAGCAGTTTTGTTTTGTTTCGTTTTTTGTTTTTTTGATAAAAGATATCAGTGGGAGGAAAAGGTACAAAAAGTCCAAGTAGGATTTACAGGGAAAATTAAAGTGGGGAGCACCAGGATACTTAGTTACAATGAACCTTGTCTACCAGCAATTTCCCTCACATTTATCTCTACCAGAAACCTTCCACATTTTTCTACCGGAACACATATGACAGTCATCCACATACGGTCATTCCCATGTAAATGCTCATTTAGCAACAAAGTAAAATAAATAAGTAAATGGATTAGTAAAGTGGGGCAATAATTCACAATCACTACACCATTGGTGCCAATACTGTTATTTCTATTTCAGTGACTGACTTCTGTGCCCTTTCTCACTTCAGCTGAACATAAGCATAGATAAAAACAATCTATTAAAACAACTTATTAAGCACAGACACTGACAAAAAGGATAGAGACCGGTGATGAAAAACCATTATAACCAACTTCCTATAAAGTGACTGATTACCACTTTTGGGCACAAGATATCCTCAGTTACAAGTTTTGCCAACTCCCAGCAAACTAAACAAACCAAAACCAAACTCACTAACATGGAATTGATTCCAATTCCTAGCAACCCCCTTTGGGGTTCCGAGGTGGTAAATCTTTATGGAAGTAGATTGCCCAGTCTTCCTTCCATGGAGCAGCTGGTTGGTTTAAAGTACAACCTTCTGGTTAGTACTCAAATGCCTTAGGCACTACGCCACAAGAGCACCTCCCCAGGAAACTAGATGTCATCAATTCTCTCTTTCCCAAAAGAAAAGTACATGAATAAGCAAGAGTATGAAGTACAGTCAGAGACCCACTCTCTAATTTCAATCTGCTCCACTTCATTTAAAAAGACCATTCACAAACTTCATTACTTTATAATAGTATACTATCTGTAACAAAGTACTTATGACACTATGACATAATATTAATATGCTGAGAAGCTAATCTTTCCCCAAATCCTTTTCACAACATTCATAGCCCTATGTAATATAAACAAAAAACTCACTGCCGCCGAGTCAGATCCAACTCATAGCAACCCCTCCTTGGGTTTCTGAGGCAGTATCACTATAAAAGTAGATTGCCTAACTTTCCTTCCAAGGAGTGGCTGATGGGTTTGAACCATCAGCCTTCTGGTTAGCAGTCAAATGCCTTAGGCACTATACCACCAGAGCTCTAAAATGTTGTTTGTTCTTGTCAAAATGAAGATTGTCTATTTTGATTTAATAAATATTTAACCAAAATAGATCTTAGTTATTCCCTTCCACCATCACAAATAAAGCTATTTTACTATTTCTAAAAAACACATTGTAGCCACTGAGCTCCACACCTCTGTTCATGCTATACAGAGTAACTTTCACCACTTCCTGATTATGTAATCTCTATGAAAATTCAAAACCCATTTCAATTCCCACCTTCAAAAAGATCACTGAACTCAGTAACTCATAATTCTTCTGCATCACTGTAGTTACCCATACTTATCAGCCTTTTCACGTTGATAAAAACTATATGTATTCTTTATACAGAGATAATAGAACAATACTTTATACATGGTAGGCACTAAAATGTGTTTTTTTGTTTGTTTGTTTGTTTCACTGATAGAAATACCACTCTCACACACCACTAGGACACAATAATATAATAAAGAAGAAATTACCTGATTCAATGAAATGCAAACAAAGCACTTCTAACGGATACTGTTCAGTGGTATAGATGTTTATCATTCCTTCACAGGCCTTCTTTAACCTAAAAATCTCATGAGGAAACTTGAAAATATAAAAGTAATAAATTAAGGTCAGTACTAGTAAAATGTATTTGCAAACATTTTCACATTAGAGATTTTAAAAATTAACTTACCTTGATTAGACACTGAATGAATTGTCTGTAAAGCACTTGGTGGTCTTCACTAGGAATTTTATCTGATAAGCCCAATGCATTCTCAAAAGCTGTTAAAAGCTGAAACAATCAAAAAAGCTACCTGCAGCACACTTAAAATAACACATGTAATAAATAGAATATATAAGACTCCCTTGTACAAATTACATACTTATCTATTTGCAAATGTATTTATTTCATTGCCTGACCCTGACAATTTCAATGAGAAAAAAAAATGTATATGTAAGTTTGGGAACTTTGGCCAGCAGACTACTCTGAATTAATAAGTGTGATAACTATAAATGAGCAACATTAATTTAACAAGACATTCTCCAAGTGCTTGCTGTCCCCTCCAAAGCAGTCAATCAGAAAGATTATAATCTTATAAACCAATGTCAACTTTACTGCTCTGAAGTTAATAATTTTACAAAAGAAGCAGCCTAACTTAAAAAGTCTAGCATAAGATGTTTAAAAAAAAAAAAAAGTAATGAAATTAATCCAAATGGAAAAAAAATGATACATATTTTTTAGAACATATTTAAAGAAGGCAGTTATCATTACCATTCAAAGTGAAAACAAACACCCAAAGAATCTTTGTTCCTCATTTGTTAACAGAAAATCAATTCTTAAATTGTAAGTATAATCAATTACCTTTCATGGAGGAGAACACTATAGACAATCCAATTTATTTATTATTAATATATATATTTTTTTACTTATTTTGGTATGGTTTTATATTTTGGTGATTTATACTACTTCAAGGAAAACAATGAAGCCATATTATCAAAATATGATAAAAGAGAGTGTTCTGGTTACCTAGTGCCATTCTGACAAGAATATACCACAAATGGGATGTTTGAACAAACAGGAGTTTATTCTCTTATAGTTTGGAGGCTTCAAGTCTGAGTTCAAAATGCCAGCCTCTAGGGGCTGTGTGAAAGCCCCTCGACCTTGGGCTTCAGCTCTGCCTCTGGCTCCTGGCCCACTGAAGCTAGAAGCATCTCTTCACTTAGGCAGTCACTGGCTGCTGAGGCTAACAAGCCCAAGGTGGACAAATAAAATGGCACAGTCCCGATGTTATCAAACCAAACAGCAGGCCATTAATTCAAGTCCACTGTAAGTCCAAAGGTCAGCAGAGCATGGTAGGCTGCTGAACTATGACACAGCTACATGCAGGGTCCAAGCATACCATATGCTAGAGACCATTCTCAGAGCTTCTCCTTATATACAGGAAGCAGACCACATCCCAAAGGCAGCTAGCTACTCAGCTGCTTATGGTAGATCCCATGAAGTTGATTGCCTGTCTCATCATGGGAAATAACTACCACCAGGTGCCCACGCACTCAACCAGGCCCAGCCAAGTTAACACACAAATTTAATTACCACAAAGAAGTTGATAAGTTACCCAATTTTTCAGTACATACTCCAGTGCACAATTTTTTTTCACAACTGAATCTACAAACAAATAAACTACCATCATCACACAAACAAGTATACATCTTATGCTCACATTTTTATATCTACCACTTAACAAACTGCCTCACAATAAATATTTTCAAAGTGAAAGAACACATTAATAAGTGACAAAAAATGAACAAACAAAGAAATGAAATTTGTATTCTACCTATATAGTGACTGTAATTGTTCAGGTTTAAAAACTCAATTCAGTTTAGCAATATACACTGCGTGGATATTTACATAATAAGAAATTAAGATTACTTTTAAAGTTACCAGTAAAAGATAAAAAAGAATATTGTAGATTATTTTCCAACTACAGCTTGAAACCAATGTTTTCGGTCTTTTAAAAGTTCCTTTCAATTACCTAAAAATCTGCATACTAAAAAGCAGTATTTTTAGATAAATACAAAATAGTAAATATAAATACTCTAAATAAAATACTCTAGTGGAATTGTTAAACCTTAAAGTAATTTAGTTTATAAATATAAAGAAACATATCTTTATGAGGTATAGCTTTATAAAAATAATACTTTTCTGAAAGCCAATTTTCAGTTTCTTTTTTACAATAATTAAGTTGCTGACTCATTGTGAATTCCTATGAATAAAAGGCAGTGACCAATTCCACTCCTTCCAGACTTAGTGTGAGATTGTAGGCCAATATTCTGATTTTATGAACAAACCAAAAAACCAAAACCAAACCCACTGCCATCGAGTCCATTCTGACTCACAGCGACCCCGTTGGGTTTCCAAGGGGGTCGAGATTGCCCAGTCTTGCTTCCTTGGAGTGCCTGAACCACCAGCTTTCTGGTTAGCAGTCAGATGCCTTACGCATTGTGCTACCAAAAACTAAAAAACTAAATTCAACTGTGGTCGAGTAGATTCAACTCATAGCAACTCCTCTTTTGGTTTCCAAGGTGGTATCTCTATAGAAGTAGATTGCCCAATCTTCCTTCTAAGGAGTGGCTGGTGGGTTTGAACCACCAGCCTTCTGGTTAGCAGTCAAATGCCTTAGGCACTATGCCACCAGAGCTCCCACTATACTTCTAGAGCTACTTTATATTAAGAAAAGCATCTATGAATTTATATTGAATGTTACAAAATACCTAATTTGATATACCATACAGTCTTTTCTATATTATTATTTCATTATGTTTCTATTTTCTAAACTCAATTAGATGATTGATTTTCATGAAACAAACTGTGAGGAACGGGTCAATACCAATTGCTGAGTTTCGTTATTCTGATCTTCAGTACTGTCAGCCAGCAACTGAGTCAATTTCCTCCACAGTTGGTGAAGCTCTTGGTTGTCAGCACCCTCTTCCTGCCGTGTCTTTATCAATTTGTGCCATGTTCGGGCCACCTATCAAGGAGATTTAAAATGGCTATTTTTATATGAAATACTAAAACTGCCAATAAAAACTATAAAATCTGCTAATAAAAATAGTTTTACCTCCTCAAATAAATATAGTGAAAGCATAGAAATCCCAACTATTTCCATTAGAAAGAAAAAAAAAAGAGTTGCTTGGGTTAAGTCCACATTCACAGCCTTAGATATTATATAGCTGGTATAGCTGAGATACCAGAGTACATACAGGAATAATGAGTACATCGCCAAACTTCAACAACTTAGCGAGTATGAGCTCTGGAGACACTACAAATGGATCATTAAGTTCCACAGATGATGCTTTTACTTATTTTTATACCCTGCCCAGTATCAAAATGGTTTAGAAGTTATGACACCTTAAATCTGAATTCTAATTGAAAGTTTTTCAAAGCATTATTTGTATTACCTCTTTATTTTAATAATATTTATCGAAAAACTTTTTGCCTTTGTCATTAAGCTACATGAGCGCACTCTTGTAAAAATGATTTTAATTAAATAAGTTTAGTATCCCAGCAAATCATTAACCAACCTCTACGTGTTTCTTTTCTTGGTAATACAGATCCACGAGTTTCTTACAGACATCACACCACTTTTGTTTGTCAACACTTAGAAGGGGGAAAAAAAATAGCTAAGTAATTAGAGCACTGAAATATCCAAATAATACCATCAAGTACTATTTTAAATTAGAACATATCTTCTTTCATACTGTAATAAAATTTCATAAAGGAAGAGTTTCATAAAAAAGAAAAAAACTTTAAGAAATATTCCCTCTATTATATTGATTGCAAATCTTATCAAATACCCCAAATCAGTCAGTTCTCTTACTGTTAAGTGTTTTGATTCTATTCCAATGGCAATCAAGAGATTCTGTAACAGTGAGCAATAACACTTGGGAGGAACATGTTCATCAACAATCAACTATAGGAGACCAAAAGGGTAGCATTTGTTCAAAAGCAAAGTTACGAAGGCAGGAAGGGGCAGGAAAACTGGGTAAACAGAAACGAGAAAAGTGTTGACACACTGTGGGGATTGCAATCAATGTCACGGAACAATCTGTGTATAAGTGTTGACTAGGAATTTCATTTGTTCTGTAAACTTTAACCTAAACCACTGTAAGATATTAAATATATACACACACACATACACACACACACGATTTCAGCAAATAATGCATGCCTTCTATGTTTGTTTGTCAACTGCTCCCTCCACAACCCCAACTCCTCCACACCCCCAGAGGTATTTTTGTAAATGCTCCTAAAAGCATTAACCAGTTTATTCTAATTCATACTTTTAAAGTAGCCTTTCCCTATACATTTATTACCTTTCATAGAGCTCCAGGAGCTTTTGGTAGATACCAGGTAAGTCATCCTTAGCACTGATGTGATTACATTTCTCATATAAACTTGCTAATCCCTAAAAGAGGAAATAGTAGTGATTATTCTTCCAAAAGTATATGATGTTCCCAAATTGTATTTTTCACTAAAGTAATCATTTATAATGATTATTTATGATAAAAGATTATAATTTACAGATGAAATTATATGTCTGCAATTTGCCTCCAAATAGCCTGGGGTAGGAAGGAATAGATGAAAGTACAAATAAGAAAATATTGGCCACAAGTAGACTTTGGTTGATGCTGCATAATGGGCCTCGAGAGGTTCATTATATCATTCTCTATTTTTGAAAATTTATTTGAAATGTTTCAAAATATGAAAAATTTTTAAATGGTTATTATATAATCTTAACCCCTAAGCTGTTACTACAAAATTCAAAAAACTCACTGCCATGCAGTCAATTCCTAACTCGTGGTGACCCTCATTGGGTTTCCAAGGCTGTAAATCTTTACAGAAACAGATCGCCCCATCTTCCTTCCACGGAGCAGCTGGTGGGTTTTAACTGCTGTCCTTCTGTTTAGCAGCCAAATATCTTATCCACTACACCAGCAGAGCTCCTTAAAACATTACTATATGACACTATTTTTATGATATGGTCAAACAAAAAAAATTCAGTAATTCTGTGGATGTGGTCATTTTTTTCAAAACAAGATGAAATATCCAAAACTAATCAGTATATCATAAAATCAGTCAACTTTCTAAGTGTGTCACCAGACACCCTCATTCTCTTTCTCTTTCATGGGAACCTCAGACAACCAGGTTCATACTCTCCAGAGCCTATCACCACCTATTAATCATAGTTTCAGACATGTGATTGAGATATGAAACAAATCAAAGATACTAAATATGAAGAAGCTGGAGAACAGATTAAAAATCATTAAGACCCTTAAATAAGAAAACGTGCACTCAAAAATACTTTTTTATATTATTTTATTTTTAGAAAACATATTAATATATATTTCTTTTTCCTAAGATAAGCATAATGAAGAATATTCTAGGTAAGTGTTTTATGTGCACACATAATTAAGTAGATGATATATATAATCATGTTTCCAAAGTCCTCATATTGGGAAATTATCCATTGGGCTAGAAGATAAATAGTGGCAAACAACATTTTGGCACCATTATTTTTTAAACTGACTTTCAGGTTTAAAAGATCAGTAAGTTAAGTTTTTTTTTTATATGAGGTAGAAGTTTAAATGCTTACTTTAAAGGCATTACCTACATTTAAATAAATGAAAAATAATTCTTTCCTATAATATAGAAACAATTATTTTCTACATACCTGCCATGCTAATAACTGGTCTGGCTCTAGTTCAGCAGCTTTCTTATAGGCCCCCTGGGCCTGATCAGGTTGTTCTAGCTCAGCTGCAGCAACACCAATAAAAACCCAGGCATTGTAGTTATTTTTCTCTTGTTTTAAAACTGTCTGATTAAAGAAATTAAAAGAGTAGGTTATTAACTTTTGGAAAATATACAGCAACAACAAAAAGACAGTCTACTTAAGAGTCAGGAAATCTGGACCAACTACTATCCGGGTGACCTTAAGAATGCCATTTAACCTCTCTGATTTTCAGTTTACGCAGAGAGAGAGAGAGTTGAACTAGATAGATCAGTGGGTCTAAGAGGTCTGGAAAATAAGATCTCTATTTTTAAAGCTTCCCAAGTGATTCTGATGATTTCCCAAATTCCTTCCCCTGTTTCTTAAGAATAAACCCAATACCCATTGTCACTGAGTCAATTCTGACTCATAGTGACCCTACAGGACAGAACAGAACTGCTCTGTGGGTTTCCAAGACAGTACATCTTTATGGAAGAAGTGCCTCATCTTTCTCAAGTGGAGAGACTAGGAGGTTCAATTGGTGACCTCAGGGTTAGCAGCCAAGTACTTAACCACTGAGCCACCAGGGATACTCCTTGAGAATGCCAGATACATATATTAAAAAAAAAAAACTATAAATCCATTCTTGACACCCAATCACCCTAGTTACCTATGCATTGCTACTGATCAACTCAAAAAACTGTTCTCCATATCAATTCACCTTGCCCAACTCCCTTATCTTTCTCTACCGTAATAATATTTTCCCCATACTACACAAATAGTAATTTTTTTACTGGGCACAAATAGTGATTTGTGTAGTATGGGGGAAATGTTATTATGGTAGAAATAACAGACAAGGAAAGAAGATCTATGTCACTGTGACTGTACCAATTATGCTCAAAATAAACAGTGGTGATGACTGTTTAAGCAGTAACTGTCATCTACAATAAAAATTATATGCAGAGATATTGTTTTCAGTTATAACAGCTACTTGCTAAGATAAAACAAAATAGTCTGGAGCAGAAAACAAAGATGTTCTACAGAGAAAAATAAAACAGTAGTTAAAATTAAATTAGTCCTTTAAGTATTTACATGTATCTACAGAAAATAAGAACATATCTGAGTTGAACCAGATTATTAGGTTTATGTGCATCCATAGGACACTTTCAGCAATTTGATACGAATCTACAACACAAACCACCACTCATCTGTAACTCATCTGTGGTGGCTCGCATGTTGACATGATGCTGGAAACTATGAGATCTATATTTCAAACACCAGCAGGGTGACCTACAGTGAACAGGATTCAGTGAATCTTCCTGACTAAGATAAACTAAGAAAGACCCTGTGATCTACTTCTAAAAAAAAAAAAAAAAAACTGGCCAGTGAAAACCTTAGGAATATCAGAGGAACATTGTCTGATATAGTGCCAGAAGATGAGCCCCTCAGGTTGCAAGGTACTTAAAATACAACTGGGAAAGCGTTCCCTTCTCAAAGTAGAATCAGCCTTAATGACTGATTTGAATGGAGTAAAGCTTTCAGGACCTTAATTTGCTGATGTGGCATTATTCAAAAGGACAAGAAATAGCTGCAAACATCCAATAATAATTGCAATGTAGAATTTCTGAAGTATGAGTCAAGAAAAATCAAAAGTTGTCAAAAATGACGTGGAACACTTGTAGATGGATAACCTAGGCATTAGTGAGCTGAAATGGGCTGCTATTGGCCATTTTGAATCGGACAATCACATGGTGTACAATGTCAGGAATGACAAATTGAAGAGCAATGGTGTTGCATTCATTGTCAAAAAGAATATTACAAGAAGTACAATACTCACGGTTTAGGATAATATCTCTATGCCTACAGGGAAGATAGTTAATATGACTATTACTCAAATTTATGCAACAATCATTAATGCCAAAGATGAAGAAGGTGAAGATTTTTACCAATTTCTGCAGTCTGAAATTAAACAGCCATGTAAGTAAGATGTATTGATAATTACTGGTGATTGGAATAAGAAAGTTAGAGACAAAGAAGGATCTGTAGTTTGAAAATATGGCCTTGATGATAGAAACAATACTGAAGACAGCATTACAGAATTTTGTAAGATCAACAATTTAGTCACTGGAAATACTTCTTTGCAGCAACATAAATGGTGACTGTGATAGTTAAGGTTATGTGTCAACTTGGTTGGGATTGGTTTTGAGTGGGTGAGTTGCTGGGTGTAATTATTCCCCATGATGAGACTGGTAATCAACTCCTTGGTGGAATCTACTAGGGCAGCTGAGTAGCGGCCTTAGGGATGTGGTCTGCTTCCAATAAATAAGGAGAAGCTTTGGGAATAGTCTTCAGCTTTTGGCACGCCGAAAGCCTGCACACAGCCCAGTTGTCTTTCAGTAGCCTGTCATGTTGTTTGCCGATCTTGGAACTCTTAATGGACTTGAATTAGTGGCCTGCCATGTGGTTTGATAATTTTGGGACTGTGCCATTTTACTTGTCGACCTTGGGTTTGTCAGCCTCAGCAGTCGGCAGCTGCCTGAGTGAAGAGACGCCTCCAGCTCCAATGGGCCGGGAACAACAGGCAGAGCTGAAACCCAAGGTCAAGGGGCTTTCAACCAGCCCCTAGAGCTGGCACTCTGAACCTGGACTTCTAGCCTCCAAATCTGAAAGAGAATAAACTCCTGTTTGTTAAAATTACCCACTTGTGGAATTTTCTGTTAGAGCACTACAGGTAACCAATACAGTGATTATACACATGGACCTTGCCAGATGGAGTATACAGGAATTAAGACTATATCTGTGGAAAGAGACAATGGAGAAGCTCAATATAATCAGTCAGAATAAGGCCAGAGGCCAACCGTAGAATAGACCATCAACTGCTAACATGCAAATACAAGCTGAAGCTGAAGAAAATTAAAACAAGTCCACAAGAGTCAAAATATGACTTTGCGTATATCCTATCTGAATTTAGAAACCACCTCAAGAACAGATTTGATTCACTGAACACTAATGACAGAAGACTAGACGAGTTGTGGGATGACATCAAGGACATTATACATGAAGAAAGCAAAGTTCATTAAAAAGACAGAAAAAGAAAACACCAAAACGGATGTCACAGAAGACTCTGAAACTTGCTCTTCAATGAGTAGCTAAAGCAAATGGAAAAAATGATGACATAAATAAGAAGAGCTGAACAGAATACTTCAGTGAGCGGCTCAAGAAGCCAAAGTAAAGTATTATAATGAAATATGCAAAAACCTGGAGTTAGAAAACCAAAGGCAAGAACATATTCAGCATTTCAGAAGCTGAAAAACTGAAGAAAAATTCAAGCCTCAAGATGCAATATAAGGGATTCTATGGGCATAATATTGAATGAAGCAGTAAGTATCAAAAGAAGATAGACGGAATACACAAAGTCACTGTACCAAAAAGAACAGGATACATGCAACCATTTGAGGGGTAGCATAAAATCAAGAACTGATGGTATTGATGGAAGAAGTCCAAGCTGCACTGGCAAAAAACAATGCTGCAGAAACTGACTGAATACCTATTAAGATTTTTCAACAAAAAATGCAATTCTGGAAGCACTCACTCATCTATGCCAAGAAATCTGAAGATAGCTACCTGGCCAACCAACTGAAGAGATCCATATTTGTGCCCATTCCAAAGAAAGCTGACCTCAAAGAATGTGAATATTATTGAACAACATATATCATTAATATCATATGCAAGCAAAATTCTTTTGAAGATAATTCAAAAGTGGTTGCAGCATTACATCAATAGTGAACTAACAGAAATTCAAGCCAGATTTAGAAGAGGATGTGGAATGAGAGATATCATTGCTGTTGTCAAACAAACCTTGGCTAAAAGTAGAAAATAGCAGAAAGATGTTTACCTGTGTCTTATTGACTATGCAAAGGCATTTGACTATGTGGATCATAACAAATTATGGTGAACATTGAGAAGAATGAGAATTCTACAATACTTAAATTGTGCTCATGAGAAATCTGTACATTGACCAAGAGGCAGTCATTAAAACAGAATAAGGGGATACTGCACTATTTATAGGGAGCTCTGGTAGCATAGTGCCTAAGGCACTTGACTGTTAACCAGAGGGCTGGCGGTTCAAACCCACCAGCCACTTCTCGGAAGGAAGATGGGGCAATCTACTTCCATAGTGATACTGCCTCGGAAACCCAAGGAGGGGTCGCTATGAGTCGGGTCCGACTCCACGGCACATAACAACAACAACAAGCACTATTTATAATTAGGAAAAGTGTATGTCAGGGTTGTATCCTTTTACCATATTAATTCAATCTGTATGGTGAGCAAATAATCCAAGAGGCTGGACTATATGAAGAACATGGCATCAAGATCAGAGGAACACTCATTAACAACATGAGCTATTCAGAAGACACAACCTTTCATACTTAAAGTGAAGAAGACTTGAAGCACTTAACGATGAAGAGCAAAGACTAAAGCCTTCAGTATGGATTATACCTCAACATAAAACAAAAATCCTCACAACTGGACCAATAAACATCATGATAAATGGACAAAAGATTGAAGTTGTCAAAGATTTCATTTTATGGATCCACAATCAACAGCTATGGAAGCAGCAGCCAAGAAATCAAACGATGTATTGAGCAAATCTTCTGCCAGAGACATCATTAAAATGTTAAAAAGTAAAGATGTCACCCTGAGGACTAAGGGGTACTTAACCTAAGCTATGGCATTTTCAACTGCTTTATATACATGCAAAAACTGAACAGTGACTAAGGAAGACTGAAAAAGAATTGACGGCTTTGAACTATGGTACTGGCAGAGAATACTGAATATACCATGAACTGCCTGAAGAATAAATAGATCTATTTTGGAAGAAGTATAGCCAGAATATGCCTTAGAAGAGAAGACGGTAAGATTTCGTCTCACATACACTGGACAAGTTATCAGAGGGGACCCTCCCCTGGAGAAGGACATCATGCTTGGTAAAGGGTCAACAAAAAGAAGACAACCCTCAGGGAGATGGGCTGACAGTTGCAACAAGGGGCTCAAACACAGCAATGACGGTGAAGATGGCACAGGACCAGACAGTGTTCATAGGGTCA